TTGTAGTCATCAAAACTCCTTAAAAAATTCACTTAGAAACATACCTGTACTCTTTATTGCATGTTATGAACAACAGTGTGAAATGTATACTATGGTTTGTTTCGGATGTTACACGATGTTAACATTTCAATGAGATCATCAATTTCTACAAACTCTACAATATAGATGTTTAATCAGCTTGCTAATGTTCTTTGCCTTCAACTATATAGTGTGTCATTCAATAATATCACTAACACATACATGTATGTAAGCATTGAAACATTGACAAATCTTTAAAAAAATAAAACTATAAAAAAGTACCCCCAGTCATGTACGGTATTTTTTACGGTAATACGAAATAAGTGAATCCTAATGTATGTACATCTCGAGAATGACACATTTTTGATGTATTTTAAAATTGTGTATGTTTTAGGTTATAATACTACTGTAGTAACAATCATCCTTTACCACTATTTGTATTAGGAGGCTGTTTCAAACGACAATATGTTTTAATGCTCTTAAATAAGTATTCATTTATTTATTTAATTGACGACCGATTGATGAATGGATGGATTGATTGGTTGGTCGGTTGGTTGAATGGTTGGTTGATAGATCTTAACTCTTGCTGTGCCTATATTACAGGTGACAAACAATATACAGTGTACGTTAAACATGTACTGTATTTGCCGGTGATAAAGCCGCAGCGCCGCACCCCCAACTTTGACATTTCGTAGAGGAAAAAAAAAACGGACAGCCCATTTATATTTTACACTAGTGTAGGGTTGCGGTTCTAACAGATAATTACTAGCACTCTTAACACAGAGGCAGCCAAGCAGACATGTTGTAGGATTGATAACTACTAGCTAACTGACCAGGTTTTAATGTGTAAAAGCATTACAGCATTCTATGTAGCATTCCACATACATTCCATGCAAAGTAGAATAAATCAATAAATATTCATATAGTCCCATACAAATATAAATCAACATCACAAAGTATTCCTGAATATTCAAACATAAACAAAGGGTATATATTGAATATTCATAGTATATGTAAATTATACTACATAAGCTTGACTGCATCAGGTGAACATTGAAACCAATGAGAGAGAGAGATAGACAGATGAAAGGATGGTGGATGAAAAGGGTGAATGTGAATGAGGGATGACCTATTAATATGAAAGGGATGAATCATGGATAAGAAGGGGAGTTTCAGAAGTTCAAAATAAATCCCTACACTAGCTTATACATTTTGTATGTATGCATACATTTGAGGAAGATACTACATGTATATGTTTAGGATCATTAAATAAGGTATTACTGGTAATGCCCTTTTCTTTTATACATGTATGTACTTTTTACACAGATTAGTTACGTGTACTGAGTGCCCTTTTTAAAAGGTATTTTTAAATGAAAATCCATATTTCCCATACATTTTTAGAAAAACATTTTAATTTGCTTGATTTTATCAACTTCATATACGTGTATCATATCCATGTCATGACCATGCACACTGGGTATTGCGTAAGTGGGTGATTTTGATTTTTGTAACCTACCAGATAGTTTAGATTGACCATACAATCTTTGGTTATATGACATAATTTGGAACAACCTCTGTAAAAATGAAAACGTGATGATTTGCAAAGACACAGCAATGTAAATAGCAAAAGGAGAGGTTGAACAAATAAAATTTGCTATTCTCACATCTATCTTTGCCCCTCATTTGAACTAGTTAAAGTATGAAAATGTCTGTTAACAGTTTAATGTAACATCCGAAACGTGCTACAGCATAACAGAAAGTGCTGTTAAAATGGCTGGAAAATTTTTATGAGTCACTTTTATTGAGATTGTTTCTGATAAATTACAATTAAGGATATACTAAAGCAGCCAGGAATGCCTTGCACCACAAAGAGTGGCTTCAATATTTATGTTTTATAAGTCAATTTTGCAGAAAATTTAGATATTTTACGGAAAATTTGATTTTTTTGCATCATATTTCTTCATATTTTTATATTTAGATCTAAATGAAATTATCAAAATAGTGTTTTTAACAGGAGTGTGCATTGTGAAATCGTAACTTGCACATATGATAGAAAATTAGTTGAAATTTGCAAACTATGTGTTAACAATCATATAGTGTAACGTCCGAAACACCCTTCTTGAGTTTACACAAAATTATTGGATTTGAAAGACCTGATTTGTGTTTTGACTTGTGTTAAGACTTATAATAACTTATTTCATAATGATTTATTCACTCTAGATACCTTAAAATATGGATTATTATCATTTTATTGGTATTTTTTGTTTCGGACGTTACATTTGTTTCGGACGTTACAACTGTTAACGGAAAATTGGTTTTAACTATAAAATAGTATTGTAGTAATGTATTGCAGATTTCTTTGTTTTGATGGGTAGCTGCCATGAGAAGTTAACAAAATGTTATGATAAATATATCCTGCTGTTCATATATTTTCTGCTACTTCAACTTGAAAATTGTTTCGGACGTTACAAAACTGTTTACGGAAAATGAGACGACTTTTTCAAATTTTAAGTATATTTCTAACATAAGCGCTACTATAATTAAATTGTATTTTCTTTTAAAATAATCAGTTGGAGCAACTAATAAACTTACTCAAACCATATACAATCTCATTAATTTGGTGTTCTAGTGGGTTAAATGAGGGTCTACATTGTTTACGGAAAATGTAACGTCCGAAACGCCATTTTCAATTGCACTTTTCCATTAAAATAGGGGAGTTGATTCAGATTACTGTCAAGTTTCTTTAAGATCCACTCATGCTCATCAATCATCAATAGAAAAAAAACATATTGTTTGTGGCTATATATTTTTTTCAGCTCCGACCAAAATGGTATGTCAATTTTGTTACAAAATTCCGTAAACAATTTGCTGTTCAGGGATACCTCATGCGCATAAAGCAACGATGAAAATTTTTCGTTAACCTAGGTCCATGCTACTAGAAAAAGTTGTTACTGATTTCTAGTTCTTTATCTTTGGAAAGTTTCAGGCGCTCAAAGGGCCATTTAGGTATTTGGTCATAGTTTAAAAAACCAGTGCCTTATAGCACTTTTAATTATTTTGGTGTAAAATTCAAAGCCATGAGCGTTCATAGATTGAGCATTCCACTGAAACACTTTACCCATGATGGAGCATAATGCAAATTATATATGCACATGAAAGTGACAATTGAATAATTGTTCTGTAATGTAATTGGTTTGTACAATAGTCATCAGGCATGAAAGAAAGATAGATGAGAGATAGACAGAAAGAAAGAAGAGAGAAGAAAGGAAAGAAGGGAAAGAGAGAAGAAAGGAAAGAAGGGAAAGAAAGAAAAGAAAGGTGCCAGAGAGGGCTAAGGCGTTGGCCATAAGATGTTGGAGGCCCACGCCTATACTCTGTAATTATTTTAACCTTTCATGAATCATTTCTGGATGTATGGTTTGTACACCCAGGCAGCAATGTGCTGCTTCTACGACTAATCGGATCCTGTTCGAATTTGATGTTTCCTTTTCCATATTATTAATCACAAATACAATGAACGCTAAAAAGTCGACACTGTTAACTGTTATTTGAAAATCTTTCTCTTCTGTCTTCTCTCGATGACCTCGATCCGTATTCTGGTTTCCCTCATTGAATTTAACTCTTTCATTTCTTTGCGCCGGCTTGCTATTTCGTTCTGTCTCGCTGGAGACTGCTTGTTCAGCCTGCCCTGACGGGACTTTCTCATTGTTTTGAGGTTTTGCTCTTTCGTTTCTTTGTGAAGGCTTGCTAATTCTTTCTGCCTCTCTAAAGACTACTTGTTTAGTCTGCGTTTGAACAGGATTCTTCGTTTCGTGAAATCTTTTGGTTGCTGTAGCATATGAGATTTTTTCGCTTTGCGTAATAGCGTGTATCTTCACAGCGTCTTTGTACTTGACGCAGCCTAGATAAGCCGCCGAGTGGTTTTGCTCGCATCGACAACACTTAGGAGTTTCTTTGTTCTGACATTCTTTGAATTCATGTTCTCCTCCACACCGCACACATCGTGCTTTAGAATGGCAGCCATCAGCAACATGCCCGAAACGTTGGCATTTAAAACAACGTGGTACTTGTGGCACGTATTCGTAAACCTTGTACCTCTCAAAGGCAAAAATGAGTTCTGTTGGTATTTCTTTTCTTTCAAATGTCAGTAAGACTGACCTAGTGTCTTTCAGTTCACCGTTGATTCTCTTTTTGAATCTCTTTGCATGGACTACTTTATCCTTCTTTAACCATTCCAACAACTCTTCTTCCTGAACTTCAGGATCTACTCTTATTACTGCTTTTCTCTTGTATTCGTTTGGGTTATATGGCGTAACTTTACTGTCTTTCCTGCAAAATCTATAACGTTTTTCAGTTTGGCTACGTGTTTGGCATCTTTACATATAATTTTCGAACTTTTCCTTTTTCTTTCTACTTGGACTTGTCCTATTTCTTGATGTAAAAATTTCGCCATTTTTGTTGGAGTAATTTGTGCTATATTGTTGTTTACTCCTTCAACTATTACAGTTAGATCTATTTCTTTAGTACTCAGTATTTCCCCTTTTCTTTAGGAGATTCCACAAAGGTGCCGCTTGTTCTTGGTCTCTTTCTATCTCTCTCAGTATTCCTACTCGTTCTTCCTCTATGAGATATGAAAGTCTGCCAACTCCCGCCCTCATCATCCGTTGTTTCTCCTCCCCCTCCTATATCCATCACTGTTTCATTTCCCGTTCTTTTCTCGGGACTTTTAGTATGCCTACCCCTTGAGTTATCTATCTTAAGTATTGGAGACAGTGGTCCCAATCCTGACTGGGTGCTTTGGCTACAAATAGCCGTGGCAAAAGTTTCGTATGCCTCCTCTCCCGAGGATTCCGCCATTGTAAACTAGCCTAGCAATAGCATTTAGCTCTAGAGGCCAATGATATAATTCTGTTGGTTAATTATTATCTGTTAATATGTGGAATGAAAAGTGCAAGGAAAACGCCGGTTTGGCTAGGTCTTACCCCCAGGTGCAAGTAATTAAAAGGATACCAGAATCCAGATCGACTCGAAAAATTCACGGTCCCTGACGGTCCCTGACGTTGAAGGGCAGCCTCTTGAGGTCCACGTGGCAAAAGATGGTCGTTTGAAATTCCCGCCACTTCCCCCGGGAAGACTCCGCGGCTCGTTCTCTGAGTGTCCGCTCTTTCTACCTAGAATCTACCTAGAATCAGTCGCCATTCAGATAACGTGCAGACTGTGCTTGCTCAATCACCGTGTCCGTCTGTTTACTTATCATAAGTACATGTGTCCAGCATGCAGGGAGAAAGAGCAATGACTCCAAGAAAAGCGGAGGCGCAGACTCGAAGTATTGGGCAAAGTGCTTTTGCGTTGAACCTAACCACAGAACTCAAATAGTTCAAATAGTTCTGTGGAACTCACTGAACACATAATTATACGCAGGAATGGCACGGAATTGCCAATTTGATGAGTGTTATAAATCGTATTTACACATACAATCGCTTCTTCTTCTTCTCCTCGAGTTTAAAGTTCACCAAGTAAAGCCCCCGTCATGTACATGGTTGGGTATTAATTCTGCACCTCATCAAAATTGTGAAAAGAAGGTAGCAATTGGTTTGGGCAACTGCAATGGAAGCAGAGTTTTACCAGGGATGTGATAGAGGACTCAGGAATCAAGCCGCTCTCCTTTGACCCCGTGCTCTTAGCTTAGCCGCCGAAAAGTTATGCGCTAATCTGCAACAGTTTTTACTGTTGACCAGGTGGCGAGATAGGCTAAAAGAAAGCATGTAATTTCAGGATATAGAATTCCTACATTAGAGAATGGTATCACAGCAACTGTTCGCTGTCCCTTTCAATGATTTCTCATCCATTGTGTAAAGAGTAGAATAAGCGACACAATGAAACTTGTGTAATTACGGGACATTAAAACATGCACAAATTAGCGCATTGTCGTAAAATTTTGAGTTTTTGTCAGGATGTAATTTTTCTTTTACCAAATGTGGCAAACAAATTATAGGAAGGACGGAGTACTAAATTTGAAAAACTGTTTCCCAACACAATCCCCATATAATTTGTTTTATTTACACTGAAATTTTGACGTCCTAAAACCACTTGGCGAAGAACTGTGGAAGGAGAGATTAAAGACCTGAACCACACATGGGATACAATCCAAAGACTGGCCCAGGATCGGAAAGAGTGGAAGACTTTTGTTGCTGCCCTATGTGCCAGGAGGCATAATGGGTAGAAAGTAAGTAAGTACACTGAAATTTTGCCGTTAATTTAATATTTTGTAATAAATGTAAAACGTCCCTGGCTTCCGAAAGTCCCCGCAGTGGAAGCGCGGTTCGGAGCATGGAACTTCAAAGCCAAGTGGACTCTGTTACACATTCCATTGTTACGTTTTAGAACTCATGAATGCTTTTGAATAAATTACAAGAGTTTCGCCTCCTCAAGTTCTTTCACCTCCCTGGTTTTACAAACATCATCTTGCAATGAGGAACTGATTGGAGATGGCAGATCGACCAATCGGAACTGATACTTTGATAGCATCAAGCATTAATTTGACGGGCATGTTATTTGAGCAGCTATATATACCAAAAGTTTTTTTTTTTTAAAGCGTGTCCCAATTTTGGTCACTAATCAAAATGTATAACCAATATAACCTGTAAATCTATTTCATAATAAAGAGTAACTTATTTTCTGTCAAATGATACCATATTCATAATATTTCTGTCACGGGTGACTGCAGCACCATGCAGGGTCTTTAAAAAGTGTTGTCAAAATCGCCTTGAACCAAGTTCAAGTTCAAGTTTTTATTGGTCCACATTTTACACAAAATATAGACATACATACAAAGAATTATACAATACATGTAGTATAAATGGGCACGTACGTCTCAATGATTCTCAATTCATATAATAGATCAAGTGAAATGTGAGGAACCTATTAAAAAGCAGTGCTTGTATATTCCTGGAAATATAAGTATTGTAGAAGAAAACCCCGCGTATCAGTAGAGAAGGACGTAGTTTAGAGGAATTAAAACACAGTGGAATGGGCTTATAGAATGAATGTGGGTCAGCTAGGCCATTTGCATGAGCTTCTTTGGTCTTAAATCCTTTCAAAAGTTGTATTTTTCCTCCTGATTTGGTGCCTAATTGTTGAAAATGATGTATTGTATCCAGGCGCGTACGCAGGGATGTTTTTGTTTACTATCGGAATATACCCCCCCCTCCCCCTCACTTTTTTCCAGTTTAAAAAAAAAATTGCTCCCCCCCCCCCCCCCCCCCCCCCCCCCCCCCCCCCCCCCCCCTCCACCCGCTTATTCAGCGGCTGGCTGAGTTGTTGCGAAATTTTCGGCGCGATTTTCGAATTTTAAACCCCCTTGAAAAAATCCTGCGTATACGCTATACTGATATAAGCTCCATAGAATAATATTATTTTGAACAGCCTACTATCTTCTTGTCTCATGATATATAAATTCTCCAGAGTCGGTGAAGCGACTTGCAAAGTGTGGGTGGGGGGGGGGGCACCAACAAAATAGGGCACTTTCTGGAAAATAAAGAGCACCTTCTAAGGGAAATCTCAAAGCGAAATATACAATTTTTTTAAACATTGGTATATACCCCGATATTGTGATTACATTATCAGGGATGATTTCAACATTAAATTTTGTTTCTCTTTATACACATATAAGATATCGCTTAAGCATCATAATTTGCAGTTGGGTGTGATGATCTGAAAATTCATTTGCGAGCGAGCAAAGCGAGCGAGAAATTTGTTAAAGATTTGTGAGGTCGCAGTGCGAAAAATTACATCTTATACAGAGGAAAGACCAAATCCTGATGGGGTCATAAGCACATTCTCATAACGGAAGACTGAAAAGACCTTTGATAAGTTACATAATTATAACATCATAACTACGAGCGAGCGTAGCGAGCGAGCTTTGTGGCAAATTGCTCTTAGTCGCTTGAAATTAGGGGCACGTTTAATGATGAGAGGAAAAGGGGACACTGATCGAAAGGGTTAAAGCTTATCTGTACTAGTTTACAGGAGGGTTTATATCGCCCTGCAAGGTCACTGGACAGGTGGTTATCTCATCAACTCAGCTCTCAGTTAACATAAGAAAAACAGGATCATGGGGGACCAATGGTCACCGATTATGCATTGTTTGTTATATAGAGGGCGCAAGTAGCTACAAGTAGTGCAGTGGGCCTTTAAGACACTTATTAGAAAAGAAAAGGAGCACGTGTCAAAGTACAAAGGGTAATTATCAGAGGTAAAAATGAGGCACTTCTTACACCTAAAAAAAGAGGCATGCACCAGAGATAAAAGAAATGTGCATTTGTCGACGGATTGAATAGGAATTTTATGAGAATGGGAAATCGGCATTTGTCGACGAAAAAAGAGGCACCCATCATATTTTGATAGGGGCATTTATAAGAAATGAAAAGGGACATTTATTAAATAGGGACAGGTTACTTATTAGAATGGAAAAGGGGCACCTATCATTGTTAAAATGGTAATTATCAGATATGAAAAGGGGCACTTATCCCATCTGAAAAGGGGCAGTGACCATACATGAAAAGAGACACTTATGAGAATGAAAAAGGGGCACTAGTGATATAGAAAAATGTACATTTGTTGAAAGAAAAGGGACATCGATCAGAGGTGAAAGGGGGCTTTTATGAGAAGGGGGAAGTGGCTCTTATTAAAAAGAAAAAGAGGCACATGGTAAAATGAACGGGGCATTTTTTAAAGATAAAAAGGGGTAATTATGGGAAGGGGAAGGAGCACTTATAAATGGGAAAAAAACATTTATCAGGAGGGAAAGGGGCACTTGTCAAAATTAAACGAATATCTCTCAGAATTGAATAGGGTCATTTACAATAGATGAAAATTGGCACTTATGAGAACGAAAAGGAACTATTTTCAAAGATGAAAAGGGGCATTTATGAGAAGAGAAAGGGGCTCTTTTTTAAATAGGGGCACTTATCATGCGAGAGGGGGGGGGGGGAGGTAAGAGGACACTTTTTTCCTTTTTTTGGTCTCGAAATTTGTAAATTTGACATTTTGCTCCGTTTGGGGGGGGGGGGTGGGGGCAAGGTCAACATTTTTAGGTCAGCCATTTGCATAATTTTTTTAAATTTAAAAAAAAAAAAAAAAGAGGGGAGGGGGGGGGGGTTCTTTAAAATACACACATTACAAAAAATGAAGGGAGGTTTAACCCCCAACCCCCCCCCCCCGCCTGACCTCAAACAAGATATGCGAATGAAGTCAAGATTGTTCGCCGCCCCCCCCCCCTTGATCCGCGTCTGGTTGTGTCTCACTGATGTCCATTGCATTGTCACCCCTCCAATTAAGCTATATGGGACATAGATACATATTTAATTCTTCTACAAGTCATGGCAACCCTGCATGCAAGTCACCGTCAGGTACACCAACTCGATTTTCACCAAGACAGCGTCATTATATTCATCAACTCGATCTTCACCAAGACAGCGTCATATATATATATATATATATTCATCAACTCGATCTTCACCAAGACAGCGTCATATACATATATATGTATTCATCAACTCGATCTTCACCAAGACAGCGTCGTATAAATTGGAAAAATTGTCATCGTATTAACTCTTCGGTAATACATCGTCATGTACATTTTCTATTAAGAATTCGTCACCAAGTCATGGAAACTATTCAACATGTAAAAAAATAAGTGGTGCACCGACAAAGGGAAACCTCGAAGCAAAAATATATAAATGTTGGACATATACCCCTATACATTGTGATCAATACATTACCACGGATGATTTCAATATATTTTGTTTATCTCTTTACATTATGGTCAAAGATACTGATCTTAGTCGCTTAATTAAGAAAGAAATACAGAAAAGAAAATATGGAGCACTTATCAGAAGGGAAAAGGATACTTGTTAGAAAAGAAAAGGAGCACGTGTCAAAGTAAAATGGACAAGGATCATGTGAAAAAAGGATTGATGCACTCACCAGAGATGAAGAGGGACGTAAATTACGAGAATGGAAAAGTATTACCGATTATAAAGGAAAACGGGACATTTCCCGAAGGAAAAGGGGCACTATCAGATCTTAATAGGGGCAATATATTAGAGGTGAAAGGGGTATTTATGTGAAGGCATTCAGGCCTTCGCCTTCACATGGATTCTTCTCAAAAGGAAAAGGACACTTAATTATAGAGGAAAAATATGCACATGTTAAAATGAAAGGGGCGCATATCAGAGATGAACCTCTCAGATATGAATAGGGGCAATCATCAGAGGTGATGGGGTACTGATCAGAGGTGAAAGGGGTACTGATCAGAGGTGAAGGGGTACTGATCAGA